CACATTTGTGTAATATACGGTAAATTTATTTATTTGAGAGTTTTGGACGACATTCAAGCGGCTAATCGCTAATCCCATACTAATATGCTATACGTGCGGAACGACACTTAACATGTTTGCACTGTTTGGTTACATCACATTCCTATCCAAATACCTGGAGTCCGAGTATAAAAAGTCGGCCTCAACTGCTAACCTATTCTCAGGTATATGACTATACCCCTCAACGACCCTCATACTATTAATTTATTGTTTAATTATAGGTATAATAGGTGTAGCGCCGGCAGCACTGGGCATATTCATAGGCGGTATACTAATACGACTGTTCAAACCGGGGCCCAAAGCCCTGACATCACTGATAGCTAGTGTTGAGATATTTGGCTTAATTGGTATCATATCAGCCATGTTTATGGGATGCCCGGCCACTCTACTGCACGGGAAACTATTTAATGGACAGTTAGTTATTTTTCAACTACTGTACATTTTAATGAGTTAATAATTTTTTGGGTTTTATTTTTTTAAAATACAGATTTGATTTGCAAAGCACTTGTAATACTGACTGCAAGTGTACGACAAGAGTATATCAGCCCATATGCGGGTCGGACGGCATAACCAACTATTTCTCGCCCTGTTATGCCGGCTGTAAAGCGCCGGCATTTGGACAGTTAGAGGTAGGACTTTAATTTATTGTTGTTATTATAAATATTTATTTATATATTTGTTGTTAGTCTTTAGACAATTGTGAATGTTTTCCAACAGTGGACAGTAGGGCTACTATGGGCTACTGTTCCACCCAATGTCCTACTTTTACATCGTTCGCAACGCTATTAAGTTTTGGCAATTTTGTGGGAAATATAGCCAAAACTGGTAATTCAATCATCGCTTTTAGGTTTCTCAGCATTTATTTTCTACTAGCTAATTATTAATAACTATTATAATTAAAACTATTAACAATAGGATTGTAGATGAGCGGGATAAAAGTTTTGCATTGGGGCTGTCCGGTGCTTTTATGAACATATTTGGTCTGGAATATTTTTATTTTAAAATATACTTGTTAATTAATTAACAAATAATTAATAGTATACTTATAATTTAATAGCCTTCATACCATACCCGTTAGTATACGGCACGGTTACCGACGCTGCCTGTATGATATGGGAACAGACATGTGGTCACCGGGGTAACTGTTGGCTATATGATCCACGAAAATTTCGTTATTACCTCCATGGCTTGACCCTGGTGCTGCTATGTATGGCCGCAATATTTGACTTAATAGTGATATTATTGTCGGACAGAATCAAGAATTTATACGACGACCAGATTCACGATGAATACGAGTGCCATCGCAACGGAATTACACATAATTCACAAAATGGTAATTCAATTGAGAGAGAGAGAGAGAGAGAGAGAGAATTATATATATATATATTATTAATATATTTTGTAATTCACAGGACACACAGAATTTTGATTGGAAATTACTTTTTAAACAGCATACATGCATATTAATTTAACAACATTTATAAATTATACTCATAACACATTAATATAGAAATTTTAAATGTATTGTATAAACTCTACTTTAATTTAATTAAAAATAAAATACATTCTGTCAACAGTTTACCACATTTTATAAAAATAAAAACTACTCTCATTGTAAATATACAGCAAATAATTAAATTGAAATGTAATCACAAGATAATTAAGATAAATCAGTTTCTAAGTTTACCGTCTCAATGGATTTTATAATTATTTTCCAGTAATACTACAGGGACAATAAATTATTCAAATGCCAAAACTTCATTATGCAAATGCTATCTCTTTGTTACTTAAGGTTTTTAAAAGTCAAATGAAAAACAAATTAAATATAAAACTTCTCAATCACACTATAATATAGTGACTATATATAAAACACTAGTTAAATAGTCTATACCTGTATACCAGTAAAACCTATTATAATAACTAAAATCATTTAAAATATTTTCTATCATTTAAACAATATAAATGCTTAATTAAGTTATCAGTAATATAAAAATTATTTAAAATGTAAATTATTATAATGATATTGTTTGATACTACTATAAAAATAGTTCATTATCAGAGATGATTATTATTATGCTTAGCCCAAAACCTGTGGGCAATAGCGGCTACCAGTCCGGCACCTTTACCCGAGCCATCCTCAGCCAGAATCAACTTAAATGACTTCTTAGAGTCGAGTAGTTCTCGCGTGAAGTCAGTCATCAATCGGTGAAACTTCGGGTGTTTTTTATACAGCGAGCCATCGATGGCAACCGTAACCCGTTTACTGTCAATGCGGTCAATAAGGGTGGCCAACGCCGCCGATATGAGTTGAGTGGCCCGTACGGTGACCATCGCACATGTGTATCGGATTATGGCGATGTCATCCGTGGTTACCATAGCATAGCCTAAGCGTTGGGTTAATTTCTCGGCAAATACTTTGCCTTTAGTTTCATCCCTGGGTTTAAGAAATATGTAAATTAAATATTTTAAAATTAAATGGATATTTAAATTTGCGATCAAATTACCCCTCAATTAATGATAAATCTGAGGCCGATATTGAGTTCATTTTGGTTAGAGCTTCGGATACATGTCCACCAAATAACACGTTATTTTGAGTTAATAATAGTAACACTCGTCTCACTATATCTCCGATGTAATGACCGCTAAAATACTTCTCAAACCTTTTCGTATAAATAATTCATAAATAATTAATAAATAATTAATATTGTAAAACTTATTTTTAAATTTCTAGATATAGCGGAATTAATTAGGAATTAATAATTTAATTTGTCAAATAATATCCTCTGATTAAATATTTATATAAGAATTACACTGATAAAATTATTGATTATTTATAAGTACTGATAATTTGTATCAACAATAGTAGCTATTTATAACAACACTCGAGTGTATACTTTTCGAGAGAGAGAGAGAGAGAGAGAGAGAAAGAGAGAGAAAGAGAAAGAAAGAAAGAGAGAGAGAGAGAGAGAGAGAGACTCCATACTGACGGTAAACTTAGAAGCTGATTTATCTTAATTATCTTGTGATTACATTTCAATTTAATTATTTGCTGTATATTTACAATGAGAGAAAGAGAAAGAAAGAAAGAAAGAGAGAGAGAGAGAGAGAGAGAGAGACTCCATACGTACGTAAACGACTTGGGAAACAGCGACTCCCTGTCCAACTGGGCGTCGACATCAGTCTTAACAAAGTCTATACACCCGTTATCCCCAAAAGCCCCGCTCTCTATATTAACGGCCACCTCCAGCACGTCCTCGTACACCGACTCCGACCTGTCCGTCCACTTCCCGATACGGCCCACACTCTCAATGTAGCACATGTTGTGTCCGGTGCCCAAAATCATGCCCACCGCGCAATCCCCGTCCAAATACACCCCCTTAACCAGTGTACCCGTCGAGTCGTTCAGTATGGCCACCACATCCACGGCCAGTGAGGGCCGGGAGTCTATGGCCTCCTGTAGTAGTCGGGCGCAGTCGACGCCCACGGCGTCCGGACAGTCAAAGTTCTTGGTCCAGGTCTCCAGGATTCCGATGTTTAACGATTTCATTGTCATCGGAAACGAGAAGGTGAACCCCAGGGCCAGTCGTTTGTCATAATTAGGTAAGACTTGGCCCACGAAGTCCTCGATACTGATGGCAAGGAAGTTGAATAACTATTTGGAGGTTAAAATATATGGAGTTTTAAAAATATCTATGAACTTTTTATCGTAGTACTTTTTATCATGCATTTTGTACTACAAAATTTGTAGTGATAGTGTGAAAAGTGCATTGTTTTAAGATAAATTAAGTATTTATGTACTGGATGTCTATAACCACATATTTTTGAACACTTACCTATCTATATAAACTTAATTATAACGACTGTACCGTTACATGTAGTTGTCAATTACAAGTAGAGGTTATTAAAATCATTAAAAATAATAATTAAACACTTATATGAATACTATTGAAAATAAACTCATTAATTAAATGTATCCGGTTCTCGTAATAAGTGACAAGTATAAAACAATAAATTATGAAAACACATTTAGATTCATAAAAACAATTTAAACAATTTTATACTAAATGTTTTTACTAAAAACTCAACACAAAATTCCTACAAATGTGTTCAAAACTGTCACGAATTCACAGAATATATAAAATGAATTTTAAATATAAATACGAGTTTTTAATACAAAATTAAAAATTAAAAGCTCAATGAAATCATACATTTTTGGAGGACCCTCGGCGACAGTCATCGGGAATGTCATAGTATTTGACGGTAAAATCATTATCAGCCACCCGTTCCCCCAACTGCGACAAAAGGACCCGGAAATTAGTCGTTCCTAAATCCAGGGACAGGTAGTGCCCGGACTCGCTGCCATCGGGGAACTCCGGCACAAATGTATTCTGCATTAGTAGACATGATTTACGTGCCGGTGCCTCAGCTAAACCCAGATCCATTTCCTTAATAAACACAGACTTGAGTCGACTTAACGTCTCTTTTGTTAATATAAAGTCTTGCGTCAAGTGTTTGATCTGAGAATACAATAGTAATGGAAATATAAAATTAATTTAATTTAAAGCAAATCTCATTATATGATAGTATAAGGAGAAAGTGTTACACAAAACAGAATATTCTGTGTATTGTTTGCTTACGATTCGTGCTTTGTTTTCGTCAATGATGTCGAGAATCGGATTGTGAAACACGGAATTTGGTAGTAATATAGTTGATGAGCCCATGATTCAGCTTGGTATATTTTCTTATTACAATTAGTTAATTATGTTATTAAGGCTTCGGATTATTTTCGATATTTTATTAGTGAATAAAATACACACAAAAAATTTAATAAAATTGGTTTTTCAGTCCAAACACTAGTTATTAGAGAGAAGTAAAATGAAAATGAAAATTAAAGGTAAATTATGTGAATTTTATATAAAAGGGTAAAATGTTTTTGTTTTATATACTGTATGCGTTATATAAACGTCACATGGTATTTTGAGAACATGTACCAGTAATAATAATTATTATTATATGAATTTTTATAATTGAATTATATAGACAGTATAAAATAAGTGACTATAAAGTATTATTGACTATCATTAATCATTCATATGTTAATAAAAACAATTTTTATACAAGCACAGGTATGTAGGAATAGTATACTTAAGAATAAGTGTCATAAAAATTAAAAATTATAATGAGCTGGATTCTGTGCTAAAAATATATGCAATTCTCAGTAAATTAATTATTAAAAATATAAATGTACTGCCAACTACAAACTGTAGTGCTAGACATTCACCCCTACCCCTACCCTCCCAGTGCCCACAGGTACATAAGCATTCTGTACTTTTTTTTGGTGTACAGGATATATACAGATTTTATTTGAAGGTTAACAAGTTTTTAGTACAAATTTTTTTAACACATTAATGCAAAAAGTTAAATTAATTAATCTTATTTTAGGTAATATGCGCTAAAAAGTCCGACAAAACCTATCAAGGTTATAGATTTACCTGAGCACATCACATAATTTCCATATTGATAATAATCAGTCGCTTTTATGACTTAATACGTAAAACTGTATTTTAAATGAATTTTTTTCTTAAACTGACGACAAGAATATTTATAACTTTTTTGTTATATTTTTATTTACATTTCGTAATCAAGTGTTAGGAAAGGTAGGACCGGTGGGATGGGTATGCAATATACTCTTGTTATTGGCTAATATCACCAGACACACACGTTTACATCATACATACCTTTCTATTCACATACAGGCGCCACAGAATATTTTAAAAATTCATTTTTTCGACACTTGTTCATAAATTTTATTGTAATACAATATTTAATATAAATAATTTTTTCATTGACCTCTAAATTCCTTTACGTAACGTATTAGTGTACTAATTAATATTTATTAATTCACTTCATTATATCATGTATACACAATTATAAAAATTTATATATTTCATAATCAAACAGAATTCAATGCTAAAAATAGTATCGCTATTATGAATATAATGCGAATTCTTTAACATTGACAGTAATAATGAAACTTACATTTTAGCACACTTTGCACTTTGTTTAATATGTTTCGTATACTAACTTGTACTTGTACATAAATATATTTCACAGACACAAATTAATTTAATACAAAGTACAATATAAAAGTACTTCAAATGTATTAATATTCACACACTTCATACAGTAATAATTATATAAATTATGCTGTACACATTGATAACAGCAGTTTTATTAATAGTAATATTATTATTACTGTTATTATTGTTGTATCGCAAATGTATGTCTCAATAACTATAGGTATTGTGAGACAAATACAATGAAAAAAATATATATAATAATTGTTTCTTTTTAATAGAAATACACTTTTCTATTAACTACAGTATATTTGTAGGGATGACACAAAAGTGTAGAAAATTTTTATTAAACCAAATAATCGGCGTTTTGTTAGTTAAATGACTATTATTTTCCAGTTGATTGACATGCTCAGGGTATAGCTGTAATTATTTATGATTATGAATTAATACATTTATATTTATAGAGAATTATGTATCAAGTGAATTCTCAAAAGAGTTTCTAGCTTATACTGTAATATTAATCTACAGATTTAATTACACAAACATTTAGAAATTTCTAAGAAATATAATATTTTTCGTATGAGATAACCTCCAGTTCCCCAGTGTGCTACTGGTGTCGTATTTTTGAGAATATACAGTACATTGCATTGAAAGTCGATATTACTCTTTATATATAAAATTATGTAAAATCAATATTTTATTAAAAGGTAAAGGCTTTCATAAATTCCTAGTTATTTATGTTTCAGTAATTTATTTAATATAAAAGTTTGTATTAAAAAAATTGTTTTGACTTTGTTACACAAAACAGAATATTCTGTGTATTGTTTGCTTACGATTCGTGCTTTGTTTTCGTCAATGATGTCGAGAATCGGATTGTGAAACACGGAATTTGGTAGTAATATAGTTGATGAGCCCATGATTAAGCTTGGTATATTTTCTTATTACAATTAGTTAATTATGTTATTAAAGCTTGGGATTATTTTCGATATTTTATTAGTGAATAAAATACACACAAAAACTTTAATAAAAATTGGGTTTCAGTCCAAACACTAGTTATTAGAGAGAAGTAAAAGTAAAATGAAAATTAAAGGTAAATTATGTGAATTTTATATAAAAGGGTAAAATGTTTTTGTTTTATATACTGTATGTTGTAATATAAAAGTCACGTGGTATTTTGAGAACATGTACCAGTAATAATAATTATTATGATATGAATTTTTATAATTGAATTATAGACAGTATAAAATAAGTGACTATAAAGTATTATTGACTATCATTAATCATTCATATGTTAATTAATACAAATTTTTATACGAGCACAGGTATGTAGGAATAGTATACTTAAGAATAAGTGTCATAAAAAATAAAAAATTATAATGAGTTTAAATTCTGTGCTAAAAATAGATGCAATTCTCAGTAAATTAATCATTAAAAATATAAATGTACTGCCAACTACAAACTGTAGTGCTAGACATTCACCCCTACCCCTACCCTCCCAGTGCCCGCCGGTGATGACATAAGCATTCTGTATATTTTTTGGTGTACAGGATATATACAGATTTTATTTGAAGGTTAACAAGGTTTTAGTACAAATTTTTTTAACACATTAATGCAAAAAGTTAAATTAATTAATCTTATTTTAGGTAATATGCGCTAAAAAGTCCGACAAAACCTATCAAGGTTATAGATTTACCTGAGCATATAATTTCCATATTGATAATAATCAGTCGCATTTATGACTTAATACGTAAAACTGTATTTTAAATGATTTTTTTTCTTAAACTGACGACAAGAATATTTATAACTTTTTTGTTATATTTTTATTTACATTTCGTAATCAAGTGTTAGGAAAGGTAGGACCGGTGGGATGGGTATGCAATATACACTTGTTATTGGCTAATATCACCAGACACACACGTTTACATCATACATACCTTTCTATTCACGTACAGGCGCCACAGAATATTTTAAAAATTCATTTTTTCGACACTTGTTCATAAATTTTATTGTAATACAATATTTAATATAAATAATTTTTTCATTGACCTCTAAATTCCTTTACGTAAAGTAAAGTATTAATGTACTAATTAATATTTATAAATTCACTTCATTATATCATGTATACACAATTATAAAATTTTTTTATATATTTCATAATCAAACAGAATTCAATGCTAAAAATAGTATCGCTATTATGAATATAATGCTAATTCTTTAACATTGAGAGTAATAATGAAACTTACATTTTAGCACATTTTGTTTAATATGTTTCGTATACTAACTTGTACTTGTACATAAATATATTTCACAGACACAAATAAATGTAATACAAAGTACAATATAAAAGTACTTCAAATGTATTAATATTCACACACTTCATACATTAATAATTATATAAATTATGCTGTACACATTGATAACAGCAGTTTTATTAATAGTAATATTATTATTACTGTTATTATTGTTGTTGTATCGCAAATGTATGGCTCAATAACTATAGGTATTGTGAGACAAATACAATGAAAAAAATATATAATTGTTTCTTTTTAATATAAATACACATTTCTATTCACTATATTTGTAGGGATGACACAAAAGTGTAGCATATTTTTATTAAACCAAATAATCGATGTTTTGTTAGTTAAATGACTATTATTTTCCCGTTGATTGACACGCTCAGGGTATAGCTGTAATTATTTATGATTATGAATTAATAAACTTATATTTATAGGGAATTATGTATCAAGTGAATTCTCAAAAGAGTTTCTAGCTTATACTGTAATATTAATCTACAGATTTAATTACACAAACATTTAGAAATTTCTAAGAAATATAATATTTTTCGTATGAGATACACTAACCTCCAGTTCCCCAGTGTGCTACTGGTGTCGTATTTTTGAGAATATACAGTACATTGCATTGAAAGTCGATATTACTTTTTATATATAAAATTATGTAAAATCAATATTTTATTAAAAGGTAAAGGCTTTCATAAATTCCTAGTTATTTATGTTTCAGTAATTTATTTAATATAAAAGTTTGTATTAAAAAAATTGTTTTGACTTTGAATCTATTATAATAATACAGTATGTTATCGATTATATAATAGATTTCTACTATTGATAAATAGTCACATGTAAAATTGTATGAAATGCTATATTAATGTTTGTTAGATGTTTATTGTGCAATTAATTAACATGAAATAAAAGTTTCTTATAATGAGGGAAATCCTGGTAATTATATAATATAATTTATATTAATCAAATAACTTTTCGACAAAAAATCGCGTTATTATTTAGCAATAATATAATTTAGTTAATTAATTTTTTAATTGTTTTAAGATTCAATTATTTGAGATGTTTTTTCAATAACTGATTTTTATATCAGATAAATGGGGAATAGGACTAGAAATCATTGAAAAAGCAAACTGTATTAAAAGGTTTAATTTTTATTAGTTTTAAGATTTAATTTAATCAGGCAAGATTTAATTAGTTTAATTTATTATGTTTATGCAATCCATTGATTGTAAGTACCGTACTAAAATATTTGTACTAATAGAAAATTAATATTAGATAAATTTTTTAAATTGCATTTAAATTTAATAACTTATTATTTATAATTTATTATCTAGATAAAATTATAAAATTAGCTATTATTGATAAAACCCTGAAGAACTTCAAAAGTATCCAGACAATGCAGTAAACTTATATTGTATTATGTAATACTAGAATTCTATTATGATTAATTAATTATTATAGTACAGTAGTTACAACAAACTTAAAATAAAAAAGGTCCTTATTAATCAATTTAGTATAAAAATTAAAACCTCGCTCATCTAGTAAAAGCATAAAGTTTATTCATACCGTATTATAATACAAATAAAAAACTTTTATAAAAAATATATATTTATTTCAAAACTAAAATAAAAACTCCTAATTATCTCAAAAACAATCACTTTGCGAGTCTCTGTGCGATGGCAGCCACCAGTCCGGCCCCCTTACCCGACCCATCCTCAGCCAGAATCAACTTAAACTTCTTGTGGCAATCGGTTGGCAGTAATTCGCGGATAAATAAAACAATCACTTTGCGAGTCTCTGTGCGATGGCAGCCACCAGTCCGGCCCCCTTACCCGACCCATCCTCAGCCAGAATCAACTTAAACTTCTTGTGGCAATCGGTTGGCAGTAATTCGCGGATAAAATCGGTGATCAATGTGTGAAACTTCGGGTGATATTTGTAAACCGAGCCGTCGATGGCTATCGTCACCTCCTGTCTATCGATACGGACAATCAGGTTGGATAGGATGGCCGCCAACATAAGGGCACCTCTTATGGACACCACCGCACACACGTAGCTAATGGTGTTCCTGTCGTCGCTGGTAAAGGACTCATAGCCCAGACGTTTGGCCAGGGATTCAAATATGTCGTCTGATTTATTGCTATATTTTTTGAGACAAATAAATAATTTATTAGGCTTTAGTAATAGTTAGGGGTTTAGGGCAGAGATCAGAAAGAAATTGTGGACGGGTAGGTATGAATGTATGTACGTTTCGATGTTGGACAGGTCGGTGGCGGTAATTGACTCAACAGTTTTCAATTCGTCGGTTATTTTGCCGTCAAATAGGAGTCCATTTTGGGCCAAATCCAGGAGTACTCGGCGCACGATATCACCCAAGAATTTGCCGCCAAATAGCTTCTCAAACCTAAACAATATTATCATTAATTTGCACATAATTACCTGGTTAATCATGAGTTCAAATGCCATTTTAATAATAAACTGTATAATAATAATAAACCTAATCATGGATTGATAGTATTGTAAAGAACTTCATTATCCTAATAAATAAATACTCTGCACATAATTACCTGGTTAATCATGAGTTCAAATGCCATTTTAATAATAAACTGTATAATAATAATAAACCTAATCATGGATTGATAGTATTGTAAAGAACTTCATTATCCTAATAAATAAATACTCGATGTTTGTGATAATACCTACTATTATTAATTAATACCTAGATATTTTTAACTTGCACAAACAATTTACAATAGAAATCCTGTTCACTAATAAAAATGATTATTAAAAATAGCATTTGAGTTTAAGTTTATATATTTGGTGCCCATTTACTAACGTATAAGAGTTGGGAAAAAGGGACTCCCTGTCCAAACTCAGATCGTATTTAGTTTTGGCCCAATCAATGACACCATTATCGCCAAACCCTCCGCACTCCATGTCCACAATCACTTCCCTATAGCCCCGTCTCAGCCACTCGTCCCTATCGGTCCAGTAATCGATATTTTCAATCTTTTCGATATAACACGCGTTGCTACCGGTGCCCAAAATGAGTCCCACGGCTGATGTCGGGTCCAGGTGTATACCCTGGACCAGAGTGCCGGTGGCGTCGTTGAGTATGGCCACCAGCCGGACGTTGAGCCCCCGGTGCCGGTCGATGGCCTCCTGGAGCAGTTGGGCGGCGTCCCGGCCC